AAGATCGATATCCACTACCCTTAATTGGAGAAGCATTGGACAGACTACGGTCAGCAAAATACTTCACCAAGCTTGACATCAAGGATGCATACCACAATATACGCATCAAAGCAGGAGACGAATGGAAGACTACATTCACCTCAAGATACAGAATGTTCGAATACTTTGTTATGCCTTTCGGGCTAACTAATGCACCAGCTTCATTCCAATGATGGATCAACAAGGTACTCAATAAGTACCTCGACATATGTTACATCGTGTACTTAGATGTTCTACTCATCTACTCAGAAAACATGCAACAATACCAAAAGGATGTCAGCAATATCATGGCTGCAATACAAGGATCAGGAATGAAGATCAAACCAACTAAATATGAATTCTATAAAGAAACAGAATACCTCGGATTTATCATCAATCGGAGCGGGGTCAAGGTCGACCCAGTCAAAACAACAGCAATATGGGATTGGGCCAAACCAAACAACAAAATGGATGTTCAATGCTTTATGGAATTCTGCAACTTTTATCGAAGATTCATAGAAGGGTTTAGCAGGCTTGCAAAACCACTCTATAACCTGACCAAGAAAGACAAGAAATGGGAATGGGGAGAAACAAAACAAAAAGCATACGATGCCATCTGAACACATCTGATATCAGCACTAATACTGGTACACTGTGACCCAAACCAAAGGACAATGATTGAAACAGATGCCTCAAAATCTGTATGTTCAGGCATACTATTATAACAAGACAAAGACGGAAAATGGAGGCCAGTGTCTTATCGATCCAAGACAATGACCCCTGCAGAATGCAACTACGATGTTGTAAACAAAGAACTATTAGCAATAGTTCAAGTACTGAAAGAATGGAGGAGATACATTCTGAACAACGATCATCCGGTCCAAGTTCTAACTGACCACAAGAATCTAGTCCCGTTCATGACCATGAAGGAATTGAATGACTGCCAGATAAGCTGGATAGAACATCTCAGCAAATACAACTTCAAAATTGAATACTGACCAGGCAAAGAGAGTGGAAAGCCAGATGCCCTCACAAGAATCACAAGCAACAAACTACAAACCAAAGAAGACGAAAGAATCAAACAAAAAACACGAACACTATTACCAAAAACCTACTGTGAGGCAATAGAGGTTATCTAATTCACATCAATGGAAGAAAAGGAAATCAAGAAGGCAAATGAAGAAGACAGAACAATTCAGGCAATAAGAGAGGCATTAGAGGAAGGAAAAAAGGAGATGAAAGGAATTGCTCTGGGTTTATGCCAATGGGAGGATGGAAACATGTGGTACAACAGAAAACAATAAATTCCCGAGGAAGAGAAGATAAGAACAGACATCATACGACAACATCACAATATCCGAATGGCAAGACACTGAGGAACGGCTAAAACTACAGAATTCATCACAAGGTCATTCTATTGGCCAGGACTGTGCGAAGATGTTAAAAGATATGTCAAGAATTGCAACATATGCCAAAGAAAGAAAGCAGTTAAACATGTACTATACTGATTACTGAAATCGAACGAAGTTCCCAAATGACCATGGGAAACAATTACTACGGATTTCATCACAGACCTACCGTTATCAGGCAACTGTGATAGCATCCTGGTCATGATGGATCGTCTGACTAAAATGAGTCATTTCATTCCCGTCAGAAAAGATATAGACACGAGGGATTTTATACAAACATTCCTCCGAGAAGTCTTCCGACTTCATGGCTACCCAAAGAATATCATTACCGATCGAGGAATATTATTTACATTAGAACTATGGGATAAAATAACTAGAAGAATGGTGATACAAAACAGGCTGAGCACAGTATTCCACCCACAAACGGATGGACAAACAGAATGGGTAAACTCAATACTCGAACAATATTTACGGGCCTACATCGATTACCAACCAGATGATTAGTACAAACTGTATCAATGGCCGAATTCGCATACAACAATGGAAAACAAGAAACAATTGGCACAATACAAATCTTCGCGAATTACGGACAACATCCACAAAGTCAGGCCACATATCATACGATTAACAGTATAATACTGGATAAAACAAATATGGGAAAATTACACGAAATATTACAATACGAAATGAGTCAAGTACAGCAATGGCAAAAAGAACAATACAATTAATACCGAAGACCGGATCCAAACATACAACCGGGAGATATGGTATGGCTAATACCACACAATATCCATACGACACGACCCTCAAAGAAATTAGACTATAAGAAAATCGGACCATTCGGAATAATGGAAAGCGTGGGCAACCGAGCTTATAAACTCAATCTTCCACCCTCAATGCGAATTCACACCATATTCCACATCTCACTCCTCGAATTACACAATGACAACAAGTTTCCCTCACAAACAATTATTCCTTCTCCTCTAATCGAACTCAACAGAGAACCAGAATACAAACTAGATGAAATAGTTGATTCCCGCTTCTTCTACGGAAATCTCCAATACCGAGTCAAGTGGACTGGTTACTCACCTGAACACGATAAAACTTGGTACGCGGTACAGAACTTCGAAAACTCACAAAATGCTCTCTCAACCTTCTACCAGCGATATCCAGGCAAGCTTAGTCCAGGTAGCGATCACGTTCAACTAAGACAAAGGCAAGGAAAAGCATCCCGCGCTGTTGCAACCACACGAAGGCTGGGGTGATAGCCCCCGACAGACCATACCAACCAGCCCCAAATACTTATTCATAGGGTAGACCAATGAAGAACTTAAGGAAAGGGAAAAACAAGCACAGTATAATGCCTTGTCATGGACGGTATGCTACGATGATGGATGTCCCATACATTATGGGGACAAGGAAGGCTCAGGGTGGTTCCCAAGAAAATACAAAAAGTATGGTCCGCACCTAGACCATGCCCTAAAGCACTGGAAACAGTGCTTTAACAACACGTGCAAGATGCACAAGATGAAGAAAATCACTGCAGAATACTACTCGCAGAAGGATAGAACAAAGAAATAGTTGGATGGAAAGGATGCCACAATATGGCAGAGGGCTGGAGCCTCAAGAATGAGGCCCAGGAAGGAGGGAGTCCAAAATTGATCTACGGAAACGGAATTAGATACTAGAAGCCCGCACAGGCAAATCAGAGGACTCCGGGAACAATTTGTCTAGGCCGAGGCCACAATCTCAGTAAACGAAAAAACAATCGCAGAGCTAAGACAACTAAACAACAGTTAACTGCACACGATTGAGATGGCAAACCTCACCTTGGAAATGGTGAGGATAGGATGGCGGGAAGCAGACGACAAGTTCAATAGGCTTTGGAGGTCTATGTGTTCGGCAGGACGAGAACTATTGAAACTTGGGGATAAAGCCTGATGGAACTCAGGCTTAGGGGGAGGAGAGCTAATGTCACAAACGTGGCTTGGCACAGAAAAGGTTTTCACATGACTCATGATTATGAGTCATAGGCATGTTATTGTTTCACATATATAACTTACTAGGGTCATATGACTTATTATATTATGATTTATTATGTTTTGCACGTGACTCGATTACAAGTCATGGGACATGTGCCTGGCAAGTATGTCTTATAAGTGTGCCTTGTGGGTATGCCTTGCACATATGATTTATGTTTTGCACATGACCTCATTATGAGGTCATGGGTTTACTCATATGACTCATTCGAGTCATATGACTTGTTTATTGTGTTATGATTGGTTTATGAGTTTTCGCACATGACCTTGCTATGAGGTCATGGGTTTTGAGCATGTGACCACTTTGGTCATATGATTAGTTTGTTAGGATTTGGTTTTGTACATGTGACCACTTTGGGTCACATGACTATGGATGGGAAGAACACTATATAAGGAGGTTGATGCGGCTGAGGAGGATAGGTTCTTCACGCTTTGCTCTAAGTACTTTTCCTCCTTATTACTTGAACTAATATAAAACACCTCTACAATCTTTATCTTTATTGCAACATTTATAGTTACACTGAGGAAAGCTCTTCATAAAGAAGAGTTAGAGAAAGCTTACAATAGGCGTTCCCAATAGAAGACAAAGGTCTTATACTATCGGTACCGTAGGGAGAGCCCTAGTGCTATCATAAGACAAAGGAAAGAGAAAGAAGGAGAGAAGTATCATTCCCCATCGCCAAGAACTAACTATCCGAGGAGGGATCGTTACACCTATAGCCTATATACCTTTATGAATATTAAACCTACCCTTGCACTAAACATCGTATGATACTATATCATTGTTTCTTATTTTTTATCTGACTATCCATAATTATATCTTATTATCCGTTGACGTTTATTTGGTAAGTTATATTATTCCGCTATGTCTTAATAGATTTAATACTAATACTCAATATAATATAAAGAAATCTAATGACACGACTAAAGAAAAATACGCTATTGCGACAACAAGTAGGAAAGCTAGGTGGTCACCCACATAGTACTCAAGCCTTAAACCAATTGCACTATGAGACTTTGGATAAAGATTTAGAAGATAGTGAAACCAATAGGAAAGAAGATTCTATTATAAATGAGAGTAATAAGTTTAAACAGATACGAAATATCGTAATAGAAGAAGAAAAATACAGTTCAAAGAAATTCGTAAGTACAATACGGCACAAATACCAGAGCCCTAGACATGTTAGTAATAGAGATCAATATACTTAACCCATTATTCTATATATTTATACTTATATTCTATCTGTATTTATTATACTATCATACATTTCTTAATTTTATACAATATATTTGTAATATAATATTTATCATAATATTATATTAAAATACTACTATCATATAATACTTTCACATATTTAATCTAATTATAAGCCCTTAAGAGATGGTCCTAATACCTTATTTTAAGGTCTATAATATTCGGTCTTGGCATCCAAGGCAGCTCAGCCACGTATCATAACACCTTTTTTTCAGCCTGGTTGAGGTTTTGGACTGCACGAACCATATCATAGCAAAGCATAATTAGAGTGGGACGGAGTAGAGTGGAGATGATTGTAGTATTATACCCCGCTGACCCCCAATCCATCCTTCAATCCATCCTCCCCAAACTAAATCCTCCAAACGCAAACGGGAGGAACAATAAAATCCCAATTCAAACTCCGCAATATTTTTGGTTGCTAGCCTAGAAACCCGGATCCATACATCAATCTGAAATGTAACGATAGAGCAAAAAGAAAGCAAGTATGCAAATAACGAAAATAAAAACCCAGACCCTCCCTTTTTCCCATGACTATATCCTTATCCGTGCTGACTGCCAACGATCCTTGCCGGAAAAAAAAAAATACAAAGAGAGAAAGATGCAAAAGTCAGCTAGTTGGTTGGTTGGTTAGACATGCATGCAGCTGCGTCCGTAAAGTTCTCATACCCTTCACTATACCCCAAGAACAATACTTATTAACAACCGGAGCCCCCCAGATAACTGTTTTCGGATATGCCTCTAGGGGCACTGTAAGCCTCTACCACAATCCGTTCCTTACCGAATAATAGAAAGAGAGGGCTAGCGAAGCATTTCCAAGGGCCCGCAGCGCCCGGAAGGGAGCATTGCGGGCGGGGCTGTACTTGGTACTTCAATAGGATCGCCGCTCGCCAACACCAATGCCCAATCAATTATAACAAAGGCGAAAAAAGAGAAAAGAAAAGAAAGTGACCGCCCTATCCCGACCAGACTCCAGATCGAATCGAAAACCCCACACGCTATGAAAACCTCAACTAAACCCCAGAAGGGCCTTGTTCAGTCCATGCCATGCTGCTGACATCTGCCCAATCCCACTCGAAGGTCATTGGCATCTGCCAGAGGTCCTGTGGTACGAAGGGTTGCTGAAAGGAGGAGGATATCAGCGGCGGCAAAGGGTTATGCGAGGGCGATGGTGATAGTGGGAAGTTCTGGGCTGGGCTGGGGTTACCCATATCGTTCAGCCAGGACATAGGGTTGGTAGGCGAGAATGTTGTTCCGAATTCGCCATACAGCTGAGAAACGTAACACCGGTTTAAGCAATTTCACCAAACAGAAGGGGCAAAGAGAGGGAGCAAACCTGTGAGGTCATATCCTGGTTCAAAATACTGGTGGGCGGCGATGCGGCGTTCGCGGGGGGAGTGCTCGGCGCAGCTGTCGCAGACGAACTGGCGGACCTAGCCGAGCTCACGGGGTACTGAGCACCGGAGCTCGGCGGCTTTGACTCGTCATTCTTTCGTTTCCGCCGAGTCATGGATTCCTTCTCCGCCTTATCCAAGACCAGCTGCGATATGCGATGGAACTCCCCGCAGACAGCCAACATCCGCTGTATGGATGAAGTATTCTGCTTCGCGTTCTCACTTTCATCTTCTTTCTGCACGGTTTGCAGAAACTCCACTACCACATTCATAAGCCTAAGGTCAGAGCGCGCGCGTGGGTCCTGAGGATTCTGCAAGACGTTTGCGAATAGCGTCACCAGTGCAGATACTGGATAGTACATGATCAACCTAGCCGTGAAACTGTTAAACAGCTGTGAATACAAGTACGATGGGGGTAAGGCAAGTCTGGGGCGAGGGGATGCTTACCATATACATGGATAATCATGTTTATTGATGTACTTGATCAGGTGAATTGATGCCCTAGCTGCCGACACGCAGAGCGCCGCGCTCGAGAATACCCTAGGGTTCAGTGGCCTAGCGCTCAATCCTGCGATGGCGTAATTTGATAGTCTGCTGGTCCAGTAACCGTGATGTATTGACATACGGTGAATGGTTGTTAAACAGTTGTAGTAGGCAAAGTGCAACATCACGAGATGCAGGACCAAAGGTCCGTCGTCCATAGAAATCTCATTCTCCGGCCGATAATCTGCTGGTACTGTTTCCTTCCATTCTTCAAGCTCTTTATCAAGATCTCCAATCGTATTCAGTAACTCCCCGTCTGACTGCTTGGCGGCTTTAGCAGAGTATAATTGCATGTAAACCTTGCTCTCAATCACAGCAAAAGAGGACATAAGCCTGAATAAGTTGACCTTTCCCTTTCCAACCCTTAGTGGAACATTCCCAACACCGTCTGTGGGGTCTTCATCAGGAAGCTCAACACTAATGTCGTCATCATTGATGCACGGTGGACGCCCGGACCGGAGTGCCATATCCTTGTCCAAAAGATACATAATCCAGAATACTCTTCGTCTCTGCTCAACCTCAACCTGATTCAGGCCGAAGGAATTACCACGCCTATGCATACCAATGCTATTCGATATCCTGACTGCAGCAGCAATAAGAAAATATGATGGCTGAGGGTTGGCCGTCCCCTGCAAGTACAAAGCCTACGAACAGCACCATATCAGCACGCTGTACATTCGGAACTAATTTGCTAGTGCATTGGACAATACCATTCCTAGGATTGCTTGGATGCTTAGCAAATCGGTATTTTTCAGCAATAATTCAGTGAGAACTGTCGCGGCATTCTGGAAGTAAAGCCACGATTTTTGCACGTGCGATATGGAATGCTCCGCATCAGGTTCTGTCGCATGTGTGATCCGTAACCGGAATGAGATCGCGAGAAGCATGTTGAAGGCACCATACCAACCCGAGTGGTTCGGGGGGTCATCCGAATACTGCTTCTCAAACAAATGTTCAAATGTCGGCCTATGGAAGAGCGGGAACATTGTATTAAAGTTTTGGAAGAAATCTGTTGCGAAAAAACAAAGGTTGTGAGAATCACAAAACATATATACCAATGCATAGATCCTTACCCTGTACAAGGATAGCAGCTAGTTCTCGTGATGGAAGTGGGTTTGTTCCACGTTGTTCAAACAAGGGACCGAAGATGTCAGGTTTCCACATCCCCCATTTTGATTCCGAGGATGTCGCTTCCATGACCATATGTTGAAAGCTCTTGTCACCCGTTTTCTCATTGACCCACTGGATTCCTTTGGGTGAAAATATTGAAAATCCAGACGATGAACCTGTAAACAGTAGCGGCAAAAATTAGAGTGAGACTTTGCCAAGCAGTAACGCCCTAACAAGAACCCACCAATAAACCTAGTTTCGCCACAGTTGTTTGTAACGAGAGAACACATTTGATCGGACAAGGCTTCAACCTCATCTTCCTCCTTATGCAGTCCCGGCGAATTCACAGCAGATTGCAAAGCTGACGAACTTGGAGTTTCCCGCATCGACTCTGACGATGATCTGCCAATATTAGATGGCGTCTTTACCGACCCAGCACCACCTGGTTGCTGTGCCTGATCCTGTAAACGACGTTCTAAATCTCCTAAATCTGTTTTGCCATCTCCCTCAGGCAACAAACCGGAGAGCTTAAGGAGGGACTCCATTCGACCGAGTCGATTTTCCAAACCTTCGATATATTTTGCGCTATTTCACAAGCGTCAGCACAATATTTTGGCAATGTCAAGGCTCAACAAACCCTTTCGGGGGATTCCTTTTCTTCTCCACAAGCGTAAAGACACATTCAGTCTTGTAATTCATGCAATGGGTACATGCCGGGAGCTTTCCGTCACATTTAATCTTTAAAATCATTCAGCTCCCAAATTTTCTAGCAAAGCTCCACGCAAAAACAAAGGCTCAAGTTCAACAAGACAAACCTTCTTCTTGCGGCACATATCGCAGGCCCTGGCTATTCTCCTGCGTTTCGGATCGCCGGCTCCATCGTCGGGTGATGCTTGTCCCGGATTAAACATGGTGGCCGGTATGGTCGTTCCACCATTGGCATTACCGAAAAAAATTGGTGGCGCCGGATTCGAGTGTGTGGATGACGGAGATTTCATATCGCTGGGTTCCATTTCCCCTTTTCCTCCCCACTTTTCTTCGATCTCTGTCGAAGCTTGACTGGCCACTTGTTGAAAGCGTTCGTGTCAAGGTTTGGGCAGTTTGGTGGATTTGCCCTCCCTCCGATCGGGCTGTGGCAAGAGATGTTTGATTACTGCAGAATACGTATGCTAGTGTACATATATCGGCGAAGGAAGAACTTTGCGCGGGGTTTGACGGCACGGAGACGAGTCAAAAGGCGGACTCAAGGGGAGAAAGAAGAAAAGATTAGAGCAGAGCAGACGCGGGCGGGCACTGTAGTTTGATAAATGTTATTAATAATGCAAGGTCGTTAGGTTTGTGGCGAGTTTGTTCCTCCTTCCCTCTTTTCTTTCTCTTCTCTCTCTCAGTTTGTCTGCTTTCTATCGCCCTAGTGGGGGGGGGGGGGTAGCTGTGTGTTTGGGTCTCTGTGTTTTCTCTTTGGCTCGCTTTTTCCCCTTCTCTTCAGATTGTCCTTCCTAGCCTTGGGATCCCTGGTCCTGCTTTAGTATTTTTCTCGCTTGTTATCTATCCCTTGCTAGGTCTAACGATTAAAGTTAGAGGGAAAGGTCGGGGGATATCGAAACAGAAAGCTCTACTTTCTGACTAATGCAATAAAGGTATGGAGAGGGCGTGCGAGTGCGAGTTTAATGGAGTGGGTGTGAAGGGAGAACGAGGGGCCGAATGCCGGTATGATACGGTAGAATTTGACTCCCTCAGAGTGCTCTCCCAATGCCAGCTCTGTCGGTTTCCTTAAATCCAGATCCTCTGACCTTGTCCCTTGTGGAGCGGAGCATTAGCACGCCGGCTCGTGGGGGCCCCTGCCTTTTTTCTAACATCCCCTTCAGAGTGACCCGAATAATACTACCACTGCAGTGTGGTCAGGATCCCACCAATCCATCAACGCGAAGCTTCTTTGTGTGGGCTACCATGCGTCCTGATCCTTCTTTCCGTTACCAAAATACGAGTACCTTTGCATCACAGTAGGATTTCATCGACGCCTGCTCATTATGATACTGCATCACCGCAATCCCTTGGCACTTTCCACACACCACCGTAAGACCGGCATGGCACTACGAGTACTAGTACAAACACAAGCCTTCGGGTTCCGACAGAAAAGTGTTTGGATTCCCTCAAGTCAAGCCCCGATGAGTACGTAACTTAGGTGCATTACCCCCATTGGCCGATCAATCAATCAATCAATGTTTAAACCTATTGCACCCGCGCTGTAGCCCGTTCCCACACGGGCGTTTAAACCTGCGGCCCTACAGTACGAGTATTCCAAGAGGTCTGTTCAAATACCGTACTCGTACTGGTATCCCAATGACGCGTCGAAAAAGCTGGGTAGTACGATTTATTATCTTGCCAGGCTACACCTCCCCCCCCCAACGGGAACCCAGGCCCCTGTGGCTGTACCGGCAAATTCACTTCGAGTAAAGACGACAAAGCATGATACAAAAATACCAACAATAAGGTTAGAGTTGTTGTGCAGTTTGAGAATCCCGAGACAAACCCCCACAGCGAAGCCGGAATTGGAGATATGAGAGTAAGAATACCGTGCCGGAGCTGCACCGCACTGCACTGCCGTTCGCGGCGAGCATCCCGCTTTCGCACTCGCACTCCAAATCGCTTCCCCACCCTCATGGCCACGGTCCATTTTCCTTGGGACTTGATGCCCTGCCCTTATCACACCTCCATCCAACACCACGCGACACCGAAGCAGAACCCCATTGCATCCAAATCACAAGGATGGCTGTCATACCTCGAAAAAAAATATAGATGACATTATGCATGCCCACTCCCACCGTACGAGTATGATACCCTACTGTACGATACTCGAGTATGATGCCCGAGTAGACTACGAGTACGGTACCGGCCCCCACACGAACTCCGAACCCTCCCCGAAATTCGTAGTTTTCAATTAATGAGCATCTGTGGTCCACTCCCGATATGATCGAACATACAGCAACGGTGTATGATACCGTGTATGATACCGTGCTCGAGTATGATACCGGCACGGTATCGGTGCAGGTACCATAGTCTACCGTACGGCTTTGGCTTCGCAAGAGATTCAAGTGCTGGAGCTGTGGTTGCAATGATTTCAAACAGGCCGGATGAGCCATTTCCGGATATCCGCACCGTATTCGTTCTCGATCGGGCTCCCGTCTGCTCGAGCACCGCACCGTACCAATCCAACCGCCCAAGCCAAGTTACCGGTACAGTACGGCACCATAGGGGGTAGAAGTTGTGGGAAAGCTACCAAATGCTCCTCCCCCCCTCCCAAAAAAAAAAAAAAAAAAAAAAAAACATGATGTCCGGTTGGTCCCAGTTTTTGCCACACTTTGACTGTAAACCCGAATGCATCTTTTGTGTTCTCTCCGCTTGCCCATTTCCTACAGCACTTCACCCCCCTTCTCAGCTTCCCATCTAAGGTACAGTACCGTACTGTAGTACCGGTAACCACAGCAGTACCGCAACCGGATTCCAGCATTCGATCGGTATACCGGTGCCGATTTACATATCCATCAATGTCTTTACCCCTGGAAGAAATCCGGGGTCACCCGGCCTGGTCCACCGTGATCGAATTGCAGACTCCGAACTGGCAGGGTGTTGCTCCCGTCGCGAAAAACAGGTCTGGCGGGCCGATCAATATTGCCTATGAAGTTCACGGCACAGGCCCAATTCATACTGTGGTACGTCTACCGCGCTCGACCATGTTTCCGTGGGAGGGGATAGTCTGGCGGAAAGGAAAATCATCCCTGCGGGGCAGAACTGTGCTGACATGCCCAATCAAAGTGGATTACGGGGATGAATGCCCCCAAAATAGCGTGGCATCGTGTAAGTCGCAACGGGCGTTGCGTGCAAGGCTTTCCAACCCTCCTCCTCCACCTCCTACGAGTAGATGCGAATGGTCGGGATGAATTGTAATCTAATCCGTTTTTACTGCTTTTCATTTGGCGTTTCTAGCAAACCAAATATTTGTAAGTAGATCTTTCTGGCCTGGAACACTTTCTCTTTCTCCTTCTTCTTTCTTCCGTTTCTTCCACGGTACTCACCTTCCTCCTCCTCGAGGACCCAAGCTAGCGGTTCATTTATCCATCGATTGATATGCCCACCCAATTCCTTCTTAAAATTCCCGTTTCAAATCCTGCCCCTTTTTATCCATCTCATAGGCTAATTATCACGATTATGACTCTCCCCGGTGACGATATAGTGGTCATGAGCATAAAGACAAATATACGTCATTGGTCTTTGATAATCGAGGTACTCATGATCCCTACATTCCCTGAAGGAGAGGTTTCCTGAAGCCCATTTATTACCGGCACCTCAAATTCCACCTCCCCTTTAACGATTGGGGGTCGCATACGGCACTTTCGATGTTACTGGGGCAATTACTTGTACTAACCTGGCTCAGGGGTCGGGAATAGCGACAAGCCCTATGCCAGATACTCCACGTCCGAAATGGCGAAGGATGTAATCGACCTTCTACAGCACGTGGGATGGACTGATCCGAACCAGCTGCATGTGATAGGAGTATCTATGGGGGGTATGTACAACGTTTTTTTTTCCCAATTGGTAACCCGCACGACCCCCCGCCCTCTGGCTTTCTATGTACAAGTATATGTAGGCGCAATTCACTCACTTAATGGTCATGAAGGAATGATTGCTCAGGAACTGTAAGCTCACCGGCCTACCCTCTCGAACCCCCTCCCTCTCTCCTTGAATGGCAAACCTCCCACCAATCCGGGTTCCCTTTTTTCCCCCTTCTTTTCTCACCCCACTATCTCGCCACGGCGCATGGAATCCGTATCCCCGCACCGACCTGATGGGTCTCATATTTCGTCTCGAGTCATCTTTTATCTGTCACCAGAACCCTGCACGCTCCCCTTTCGTATCATCAGTTAATGAGCATTTCGATTAGGGCTTTCCTAATACCGGAACGAATCGCCTCTCTATGCTTGCAGAGCACAGCAGCCTGCCTTGTCAACTCAATCGTAAGTTTGAATCCCGACATGTACCACCGCACGAACACGGATATGAAAAAAGCGTTGAGTCCTGCTTCTGACATCTACTCCCTCACCACCATCTCCTCCTTGTTCCATGATACAGCCATGGTATAAGCATCTATATCGCCGCGCGTACATGCTGCTGCCCAAATCACTGCCTGCCCGCCTCGCAGCCACCCAGGAAAACATCTTTGCAGCGGCTTGGCTGAAAGCCCCCGACGACCTCGGCCTTTTCCCGACCAACAGCGACAGGTACGTGGCGGAAGAGCTGTGGCGCGTGGAAAACCTCCCGCCGCCCGTCTACCAGGGCTTCCTCCTCCAGGGCCTCGCGGTCTCTTGGCACTATATGGGCCCCGAGCGGCTGAAAGTGCTTGGGGGGCGGATCAGGCACATCCTTGTCTGCACCGGCGACTTGGACGCCATGATTGAGTGCAAGCATTCCGACGTGCTCGTCCGGGGCATCAGCGCTGGGGGCAGGGTCACGAAGAGGGTCTTCGAGGGCTCCGGACATGCGCTCCATTTCGAGTGTGCCAGGGAGTATAATTGTATGATTGAGGAGTTTGTCACGGCAGCTCATGAAGATGGGAAGGGGGCTACTATTAACCGGTGGGTATGAAGCGGGGCTGGGTTTTTTTTTGTTTTTTTTTGTTTTGTTTTTGGAATGGCGTTTCTTTCCCTGCTCCAGAAGAGGGAGCGGGGGGGGGAAGGGGAAGTGGGGCGTGCGGGGCTAACTCTTGGATTCCTTTTCGCTTATGATAATATAGTAACTTAAATACCACACTTTTTTGTTTCCAATCGAACACGCTGTGCCTTTCACTTTACACAAACGAACATCCGTGACAAACCCACTCGAGTCGCACAATGCCGCACTACTCGAGTACACCTGTATTATAACATACCGGCATCAGCGCAATCCCCCACCGTTACCCCAACTCGCTCCTTCGCGGAATGTATCCTAAAACAACAAAACTTCACTCATCTCGCCGCCCATCATGTGCATGCCAGACCAGAACCCCTCCCACCCTAAGGACACAAAAAACCAGCAGAACAAAAAAAAAAAAAAAAAAAAGTCGTACAATAACGCCCTTGTATGTAATCCTCCCTCAGATTATTATTATCAGCCCCATCAGCCAACGACGCAGGTAGGTTTAGCTTGACAGGTTAAGGTCCAAACCCATGCAAGTTTGCGCCGATCTCATACCATTTCTGGGAAAACGTTAGATATGAGCTCTCCACCTAGAACCCGGAGATTACAGCGGAGATAGCGGTATGATAAGTTGATTTCAAAGAATTGTCTTTCCCACGCCACGGTAATTCCCGAGTACAGTATTATGCATACCACCCTAAAAAAAATAAAAAATGAACCCTGAGTTTTTGTCCACACTTCGGGTTGGACTTTTTTGGAGGGGACCTCGGGCGTTAGGGTTTTAGATGGTCTTAATACCGGTCTGTAGTTCTTGTCCAGTGCCCATGACGAAACTGGAGTGGAACCGCCAGAGTACCGGTAGGGTAACAACAAAAAGGAACTGTTCTTGAAATCCGCTGCCAAAATCGCCGGCGGAAAATCAGCCCGTCGGATTCGTAGTCTAATTGGTTTGGTCGCAGAATTAGACTATCATACCTCCCCGGGTAGGTACGAATACCGTTATCACACGGGCAAAGATCTAACCCACCATAGACTACGGTATTTATCCAAATATTTCCCCTCCCTCCTTTTTACTCGTACTGTACCTCAGCGGAGTACCGGTAATTCCCCCCCTTTACCCGGAGTATGATGGGAAGGGGGGTGGGAAGTTGGGAATTCCTGAAGTCTTGTGGTGAGGCTCAAATTGGTATTCCAGTTCTTACCGTAATTAAATTTTCTCGCGGAGAGGTTTTTTGCCATTTATCATACCTAATTATCCCTCTTTAATCCGTGTTTTTGGGTTAGTCTTGCCCGGGAAAGGTACTCGTCCAACAAACACGTCCAGTGCAGTGGGTCCATCTCATACTCCGGCGTCCCGTGTCTAGGGGGTGATAGATGTAACCCTTCCCTGGTGCTTCCCGTTTCCACTTATAGTACGGTTATCGTGAAGAATGAATGTGCTGTTCCAGTTCTCGTGCTCACTAGCTTAAACTTGTCTGCATATCGCTTAGCCCTTCTCGTCCTCTCTTACATGCGGGTATGATACTCACATCTTGAGTACTTTACCTTTTGCTCGGCTCCAGCTTTGAAACTTACACCCCCACCCCCTACCGAGACGATCATGGTGTATCACTCGTTTAGTTGGCTTGCAGGAGTGGGTCCTGGAGAGGGGGTGATGGTGGAGGGGGTGGTGGAGATTTAAGGGAGTGGGATGGATGTTGGTGATGGGGCGTTTTACGTGGTAAGGAGTATGATATGGTGGAGGTGAGGGAGTTTTGAGGGTGAAGGTTGGGAAGTGTGGATAGTGTGGTATGATACTTGCACCGATTCTGCGGCGTGATGCAGCTGGGAGCGCAGTATTCGGGTACAGCACTGTGCCTGCCAAGACCAAAATTTGCGAGCGTTTCATACGCCAAAGACACCGGACAAATGGGGAAACTGTACTGTACTGTACTCGGGTGTTGTACCCAGAACAGCTGGACCTCATGCTAGCACGTTGGAGGGAGGGGTCTTTCGGGGGGTGCGGGCTTGCATCAGATTTCTAGCATAGGGCGTGAGAGCAAGAACCCACTATGATGATACCTTGCGCCTATCATATTCACCGCGCACCTCAGAGCCGTGTGCCCTATAGGCAATCCAGCACCCTACGCCAAAGGCAGAGCGGGTATGATATTATGATATGATATCATACAATTCGCCAGGATACAGGAGAATAATCCATCCATCCCTAGGGCTAGGCCTTCCAGGCTAGCAGAACCCAACAGCTCTTGACGAAGATTTTAAGGAGTAAAGAGGGAGGGAAGAGTATGTTGTCCCGAGTCCCCCCAAGGACATAACACGGGCAGTTTAAAGGATTCCCTGCTCCCTCAGGACGGAGCGATGTCTAATGCTCTCTATCATACAGCTGCCCAGTCTGCTATGGTACGCGTCTCGCTACCGGTATTGCGGTGGTTTTTGTGCGCGGATGCCTTTCCCGCCATGTAGGGACAGATAAAGGTTGGGGGATATAGTGTCATAGTGTTCAGACGCTTAATTGTTGTTTGAACATTGGAGAGGACATTTTTAACAATACTTGACCGTATTGTATGGTAATGTAAGAAGCGTGACAGTATGATCTGAGTTTTGTCCTATTACCATTAACGCCTATGATATTGGCCAACCCTTCAAAGGGCGGTCCGGTTAGGCCACCATAGAGGCACCGCCGAGTAACCCGGCGCTCAGAAATCCTCTCGGGAAAACCTTCTAGCAATTTTGCAAGGCAAGCTACCGTATAATAAAGACTCACAATAGGGACGAGTGGAGGAGATGCGGTGTTTTAACGCGTTATTCTGGTGCATGGGTGTCTTTTAGTTCTTTGTCGTGAGGACAATTCTCCGGAGGAAGGTAGACAAACCAGCTCAGAAACTTGACCTCCAGCCCTATCACGCCACCCGGCTACCGCATTTACCGGTACTTCTGTTACTGCGGTACCGGTACGGTATCTCCCGTAGTCGGACTTTGGGGCAACGTTTTCGACTTCAGTCGCACCGTGTAAATGACTCGGGTACTTCCCGGGGCGTTTGGGGGTAATGCTGGTGTGCTTGTGGCGGAATAGTATCTACAGTATGATATGATGATGGGAGGATCTTCTGTGTTCACTTTAGGGTTGTTCCGGTAGCGGTTGATCCAGTTGGGCAGAGTGTTGAGCGTTTCTTCTTCTCTTACCGATATTTCACAGAAGTGCCATGTTCATGCGACAGGGCGGTTACTGGTGCAGTGCTGTACGAGGGGGTGGAGAAAAGTGATCGGAAAACCGCTAATTTGACCAACTGTTGCCACAGATGGCCAGAGAGCAGCCAATCAGGTTTCAAATATAATGTGAGGAAAAAAGTGATCGGAAAGCAGAAGATCTTCCCATTCTATTATGATGTAGCCATACCACCTGCTGCAATCACAGCTTCAAGGCGTTCTGGCATACTACAAATTAAGCCATCCAACCGGTCAACCCCAATAGAATCCCCAACAGCCTTCACTGCTGTAATTAAAACCTCTATATCTTTGATTCTCCCAAAGGTCTCTCCTAACTCAGTCTCCAAATCACCCCATAGCGCCTCGATGAGATTTAAATCTGGGGATTGTGGAGGCCACGCGAGTTGCTCGACATTGTTGATTTGACGGCAATGCTTCAAAAACCTCTGATGTCCTGGGGCACCATCTTCGACAACCTATTTTGTTACTATTAGTAATTAATAAAATCTTATTTAAATGTGTGTTCATATAATATTACCTGTGTCCAGCCATATCGTTCACAAGTTTGATGCCAAAATGGGATAAGAATAGGATCAAGGATGTGAGTAACATAATACCTAGAGTCGACCTTGGTTTTTGGAGGAATAGTATGTAAAATGGTCTTCATTTCACCACAAAATCCACCCCAAACCATTACACCTTCCTTTCCTGACTCCCAGGTTTCATCGATGCAATCGGCATGAAACTCTTCGTCTGGCCTACGTAAAACCCAGGGCCGATGCCCAAAGCCCGCAGTTGTAAAGGTAGACTCATCTGTCCATACTGTTCATAGCCAATCGTCATATGTCCAATGGAGTCGTTCCTGACACCATTGGACACGAAGAGGTTTATTCTTTTCACGAACGCCAAATCTAATATTATAATTAATTTATACAATTAGCTCTAATTTCTATAGATTTAAATATAAAAAAAACAAATACTGAAATAAAACAATTTGAAGTAAGATTAAAAGAATATACTTTTTCGTAGACACCGCTTATGGTATCCCATTGATGCACACATATTACGAAGTGTGCGAACAGAGCAGCTATATCCAAGTGCTTCCAAAATATCCTCCCATGGTAGGCAACGACTTTGCTTATCAGTCGTGATGAAGTGTTGCAGTCGTTCTTTTTCTGCTTCATCAAAAATGGGCGGTCGGCCAGTATGATATTTGTTTGTTGGTGTGTTATTGGCTTTCGAATGAGTGTAAATATCATGACAAGTACTTAACTTTATATTAACAAGGGCTGCAATATCTTTCCACTTCATTTTCGCTTCGTCACGAAGGGTAATAATACGAAGTCGCTCATCTCGGGTTGTTTCTCGACGTTTTGAATCACCAGGAAAGTGCTCGTTCCGTGTTCCCTTTAAATGCATTGTAAGATGCAAAGGATATTCTGAATGGTGTTTTGGTGGTTGCACGGTATTGACTACAGACCTGTTTATATTTGGGTTACTGAAACTTGATTTCTGACTTTCACAAGATCCTCCAATCATATCCGTTCTGATCACTTACCCTTACACCCTCGTAGAGTATGTACGAGTATGATACTTGTATCTGGAGAGGCTTGGACTGGTTCGGAATTGAAAGGGTCGATCATATCATCATAGTCCTCCTCCTTCACCCCGCCGAACCAAATTTCGTATAAATCAGGGGGAATCGCAGTGGATGATACTTGTGCTTGCAGTCCTCCCTATCCCCCCTCCCTCCCTCCCTCCCTTCCTTCCTCCCCACAATGGGCCTTTCCAAACATGCACCATAAAACACCCAATGGTAGGACCCTTTCATACTGTATCCAATCCAGAGTCCACTCAACTCGTCATGAAGTGATTGATGGAGTCAAGCGAACCCCAATACCAGCAAGCAGAGTGTTAGTTAGCTTAGTCATCGATCTAGACTGTATCATAAGAAAAGGAAAAAAAATCGCTTCTCCCGAACCTACGCAACTCCGACAGCATCTCTGGGGTGAGAGGGAAAAAAAATAATTTACACTCCCGACTCAAGTCACTCAACGCACGCACCCCCACTAAAACCTCACCCCACCACTACCACCACTACCACCACTGCCACCACCATTCCTCCCCACAAAAACGAATCAACACAAACGCAAACTCTCGGGGAGTGGGAGAGTGTGTGAGAGAGTGTGAGAGGAAAATCGATAAAGTCATAATGCTCCCGCGGTCCCGAATCCTTGCGAGATATTCTGCGGCGTACCGGGGTATCGCACAACAACAACGGAGCAGTCTTTCGCTTCTTAGCCACGGTTATCCACCGCAATGGTCCCCAGCGGCGTCACCGTTCACGATAGCATCAGCAACAACAACAATAGGGTTGGAAAGACTGGCAGTGCCGGTCAGCCGGGGGAGGAGGTGTTATGCTACGATGAACAACAACAATAGTGGTCCGGAGAAGAGGGATGATGGGAAGCAGAATGGTGGGGGTAGCGATGGCAAAGACGATAGGAAGGGCTCCTCTCTCCCGCCGCTGGAGGAATTCAGGCCTCAGGATAAGTTCGACAAGTTACACCCGGAGTACAAGAAATTGCTTGCGAAGATCGCGAAGGATCCCGAGACCATGTGGAATAATTGGACACACGAGGAGAGGGTGTCGTTCATAACGATGCTTCTCAAGAGTAAGGAGCTTGCAGAGAGATTGCACCAAACCCCTGGCTCGAACCTGTTCCTGAAGGCTCTGAATAATTTTTTGGGGTTTGGACCCCCAAGGGCTGATCCAAAAAGGGATTCGAAGGAGGGGTCGGCCAGTGGGACACGGCCGGAGGAGCCGCTGGGAGATGGCGAGGGGAAAAGCGGTAGGAATAGCCAGCGCAGAGGGGGGCAGCGAGGGAAGAAGGAGGGTGCTGGTGGCGCCGGCTCGGGCTCGAATACAAACTCTTTTAAATTGGATACCACTTCTTTAATAGTCTCATCCATCCTTTCTTACATGCTTTACCGGATGATCCCGGGAGAGCAGTCGAGGGAGATCACCTGGCAGGAGTTCCGGAACACTTTCTTCGATAAGGGGCTTGTGGAGAAGTTGACTGTGGTCAACCGGAGCCGAGTGAAGGTCAATCTGTACAGAGACGCTACCGCCCAGATGTACCCTGATTCCCCGGCTGCCAATGGGAACTTCTACTACTATTTCAGCATTGGGTCGGTGGAGGCTTTCGAGCGAAGATTGGATGACGCTCAGAAAGAATTGGGAATTCCTAGTTCCGAACGGATACCAGTTGCTTATAGGGATGAGATTTCTTGGACCGGAACCGTGCTTTCTTTTGCCCCCACCTTGTTGGTAATAGGCTCAATCTTCTGGCTGTCACGGCGTGCTTCGAGTGGAGGCGGGCAAAGTGGGATTTTCGGCATTGGGAAATCCCGGGCCAAACTCTTCAATCACGAGACAGATATCAGAATAAAATTTAAGGATGTTGCCGGTATGGACGAAGCAAAGGTCGAAATCATGGAGTTCGTTTCGTTCCTGAAACAGCCTGAACGCTTCCAAAAGCTCGGTGCCAAGATCCCACGCGGTGCAATCCTCTCTGGGCCTCCCGGTACTGGTAAAACACTCCTTGCGAAGGCTACTGCCGGGGAAGCCCAGGTCCCTTTCTTCTCAGTGAGCGGTTCTGAATTTGTGGAAATGTTCGTCGGTGTCGGCCCCTCCCGTGTACGAGATCTCTTTGCCAAAGCCCGGAAGAATGCGCCGTGTATCATCTTCGTTGATGAAATTGATGCTATCGGAAAGTCACGTGCCAGGGCAAATATCGGAGGCGGTAACGATGAGCGAGAGAGCACACTGAATCAATTGCTTACCGAAATGGACGGTTTCAATACTACGGAGCAGGTGGTTGTTTTAGCTGGTACCAACAGAGCAGACGTTCTTGATAGAGCACTTATGAGACCTGGGAGATTTGATAGACACATCACAATTGATAGACCAACCATGGATGGGAGGAAGCAAATATTTTTGGTCCATCTTAAGAAGATTGTAACCTCTGAGGATATGGATTACTTGAGTGGGCGTTTGGCCGCATTGACTCCTGGTTTCTCTGGAGCTGACATCGCGAACTGTGTTAATGAAGCTGCTCTCATTGGTAAGTTCAATCTCACATCATTCTCAGAATATGTTTACCGGCTGACAACTCTATAGCCGCGCGGGGCAACGCCGACCAGGTTTTAATGACCCATTTCGAGCAAGCAATTGAGCGTGTCATTGGTGGTCTCGAAAAAAAATCCCTTGTCCTCTCACCAGAGGAGAAGAGAACGGTTGCGTATCACGAGGTAGGGCTTCCCTTCTCCCAGTCCCTCGGGCCAGATAATAGTTGACCAAATCTAGGCCGGTCATGCTGTTTGCGGTTGGTTCCTAAAATATGCCGATCCACTCCTCAAAGTCTCCATCATCCCGCGTGGTCAAGGCGCCCTCGGCTACGCACAGTACCTCCCACAGGGAGAACAATACCTCTTGTCGTTAGCCCAACTAATGGATCGAATGGCAATGACTCTCGGGGGACGTGTCTCGGAGGAACTCCACTTCGATACCGTCACCAGCGGAGCCTCAGATGACTTCAACAAGGTGACCAGGATGGCTTCAGCCATGGTGACAAAGTGGGGGATGAGCAAGAACATTGGCACGCTATACTACGACGACGACGAGCAGAAGCTACAGAAACCATTCTCGGAGGAGACGGCGCGAAAGATCGACTCAGAGGTGCGGAGGCTGATCGACGAGGCGTACAACAAGTGCAGGACATTGCTCATGGAGAGGAAGGCGGAGATTGGGCTTATTGCAGAGGAGTTGTTGTCCAAGGAGGTCCTTGGGCGGGAGGATATGATTCGGATATTGGGCAAGAGGTAAGCGTCCTTATTAAGTAAAGTGACTTCTGACAATTGCAAAAAACTGAATGGAAAAATAGGCCGTTCGAGGAGAGTAAAGATTTTGAAAGGTTCTTTGATAGGGGTCATACTTCTGCTCCCCCGTAAGTTCATTCCCTTTTCTCTCTGCATACGAAAACCATGCTAATTAAGGAACAAAAGACCCTTTCCCGGCGAGGACCAACTCCCCCCGCCATCTCAAGAACCCCGCGCACCAACACCTCCATAGTCACTGCGAATTCACATTTTCTCTACTCACCTTCCTCCCACCCACCCATCTATCCATTCATGCACCCACCCATATATTGAACCCCAAACTCTTGTAAACCAAAATTATAAAAAATAAAAAAAATAAATTTAGCATATTATCTATATCAAATCAGAGACCCTTGCCACTAGTTGGGGGATTTTTTTTTCTTTTTCCATTGATCCACTGACTGTATATACAGTAATCCATAAATTGATTTCCACCCCTTCCAGATTCATATAAAATTTTTCTCACCCTTCCGCCCCGGTTGGCTAGGTGAATGGGAGGGAATTTATTGTATTGCAAGACAAAGATGGATGGAACGGTGACTACACGATTGATAGCGCAATGGTCTACCACGATGACTTGAGCATTCTACATGATCCCTAGTCAAGAGCGATCACGAACCACCTCTCTGACGTTATAGGGGACCGACCCTCAGCACGTCGCTGCGAGGCATGGGGTATGATACTGATCGGTGCTTCCGCGGCCGCGGCGGGTTGGGCGGTACATAGTAGGGGCAGGACTAACCCCATTCCAGAGGCATGCTAATGCGTTGCCAGTGGTATTTTTTTCTCACGCCTATGATACTCGGACAGAGGCGCGTGTAGTCGATGGGTATGATATGGGAAATACAATCCCACCGCATTCCTTCACTGGGTCAGCGCGTAAAAGAGGATTTCGTAGGTGAGTGGTTAATCCTCTCGGCTGACACCGCTCTGTTTGCTCTTTTACCTCGTTAAGCTGTATTCACAGGTGATCACTCGGTACGGCTCAGGTTTGTTTGTTTGTTTCCAGATGATTACCTGGTGTGTGTGGGGGGGGGGGGAGGTTGGCGTCGTTCGAGGTGCTGATTAGGCGGGCATCGATGTTGCAAATGTCCTTACCGGCCTTTCTGGCATGTTCCGTTGGTGGGCGTTATTACTTGTGGCCGGATATCATACTTTTGGAATTCGCGAGTACGAGTAATGTCGAGGCAATACGGGCGCGGGGACGTTCCGGCGGCTATGCCAGACCACGGCACTCAGCCATGCATGCACAATCCTGACCTCCATAGGTAATCATGTTCCTATCCCGAGCAGAAGTACCGTACGACATCCATTCGATAGGGTTATCAAAACCATCATACTATCCCTCTCTTCCTCCCCTCCTATCCGGCGGAATCTGGAACCCGAACTTTCCATTCCCTTTCCGTCTCACCCCAGCCCGCGCGCCGCTACCTTGTATCGGACAAGTTGAAAACTCATAATAATAATTCCGCATTGCAAGATTCCGAACAGGCACATGGTAAGGAGGTGGGTAAATAAAGTTACAAAAAAATACAAAACAAAAACCGGGATACGAGAACACCTATGTAAATAGGGAAGGAAAGGGAAGGAAGAAATAAGAGATTAGTGATAACGACAATAGGTTTAGTAAAGTGGGGGTGGAAGGAGAGAGGGAGAAAGGAAAGGGAAAAAAAACTCCAGCGCCATATTAGTACAACCACCACACGGTATCCCGCACAGTGTCTGGGTGTGCGTGTTTGTATAATGAACTCCCTCTATGATATCTTGTTTACACGTTTCTTTGCGACTTTCATCTTTTTGCCGACTCTATTTTTTTTTGTTAGCCACTACATCTTATATGCGGATACCAGGGGGGACTGGCTTGTCAACATCACGATCAAGATCTTCCAGCATCTTATTCTGAAGATCAATCTCCTCGCCAATAGCTACCCCGATTTCCTTCATCCGACCAACGTTCTTCAACATGCCCTCCACGACTCTGTCCTGCTCTCGCATGTACTGGTCATTAAGCTGCAGTACACCCCGGTTATCTAGTTCCCTGGTACGTTCCGTTTCCGGTAGTGGTGCGCCGAGAACTCTGCCACCACCGAAAGTGTTCTTACTCGCGCTCGCCCCTGTAAAGAGGGCATTCTTGTCGGCTGCCATGGCGGCAACAGAAGAGTTTTGGGCAGCCCGCTTGGAGGCGAGCGAATTTGCTAGGGATTCTAGGCCATCCCGTTCCTTACGGGCTGATGAGACCAAGTCTTTTCGTCGTCGGATCTCTCCATCAAGTAGTTCCTTGCCTTCCTTGCCTGCTCCCCATCCATTATTGCCCCTTCCACCATTACCAACCTCTTTGAGTCCGTTATCCAGCGCGGTGATTAGAGAGCCAACCTTGACGAGACAACGCTTAGCCCCCGCAGATGCCTCATGCTGTTCCCCAGCCGACCCCGCTTGATCGCGCTTCGACAAGTACATCCTCGCATCGTGTAGCAGCGTCTTCAATTCCCGATGAGTATCCAACCACAAGGTCGGATCCGTAATCGGCCCGCCTCCCCCCCCTATACCCGGCGTGTATCCCACAAGGCTCACGCTCGACGCGGCCGACGATCCAGCAGACCAATTCGCAGGCAAGTTCAAAAAGGTTCTCCAGGCAGGTGAGTCACGCCAGCGAGGATCGCCCGAGTGCAGGATCCCCAGGAGGTATTTTTCCAGCCCATCTCGACGCTCCTCAGTCATCGCGGGGTTGCCGACGGTCCGAGAGAAGTAGGACTTTGGTGGAAGCGGCTTGGGCGGCACGCTGCCGACTGTGTCGGTTAGTCGCGAGTGTAGCTCGACAAAGTCATTGTAGCGCTTTTTGACGGTTATCGAGCGGAGAGGGAGGCGGAGGAGAATGTGGTAGACCGTGTGTGGTTTTCCCGGTGATGTGGCGAGAGAGGTTGTTGGGATGGATATTTCAAGAGTTGTCATGGTGGTTTGGTTACAGTTTCTGTCTGTTGAGGGATGGAAGAGAGAGCCGGGGAGGGAGTATGTTTGCTTGTCGGACAAAGTACCAGACTGACGATCCCAGGAGACGTCGGGTAAGTCAAGACAAGGAAGGACGAGGAAAAAAAGGATTAGGCACTCGAGTCGAGGCAGGATCGAGCTGAGATCTGTCTTGGAAGAGGAGGAGGGAATGAAACAGGTTCCCGGAGCCTTTGTGATAGCTTTCTGAAGTCTTGATAGGGAATAGTGCGGGATGGCAGAGGAGTTGGTCCGAGTGGGTGAGTGGTGCTTCCGGATGGAAGGGAAGTGGCAAACCAGGTCACTCAGAATGAGATGAGTTCAGGTCAGAAAACGAGTGACACGAGCTTTTCCAAAAGGGAAAGAATCGGATTGTGACGAAACCAGTTAGCTGGTAATGAAAATGTGGCTTGTCACATGTGGCAGGGTAACCTACCCGGCCTAACCGTTAAGAGTCTAGGGAGGAGCCACAAATAATAAATCGCCGCCGGAAGTCTAGCAAGTAATCCGCGGCAACGTTACAATACTTTCTGGCTCTGGTGCTTGTGTTCCGAAACGAACCCAACACCAAGGAACCCGGTAGACTGCGGATTTTGTTTGTAGCTATTTGATGTTTCCGAACAGCTCTTCAATCACATATACTCTTTTATCCCATAATATCCTCCAACTCTGGTCTCCTATATTCTTATAGCTCCCCATAGAAAACACCGTTTCATCAGCCTTTCATCTCCCTTCAATCTATACATCAGCCTCTTCCTAGCACCCATCTAGCCTCACTGCTGCTGTTAACCTGGGGTTCCTTCCTCGCCGGTATTTGCCTGGTGCTCTGCGTCTGATGTTGTTGAGACCTGTGTCGTTAGTGTCAGTGCATTGCTCGGCTCCCGTTACTACCTGTTTGTCCCTAACAGTTAACTGATATCTACGTGTGCGATGACGTATAGGCCCGTCACTCTAAGAGAAGCTGCCCTCGACTCTCCAACATTTCGCGGTACGGTAGTTCACTATGGGGAACAGGTGGAGCTTGTCGAGAAATGGCTGGAGGGCTACTTGAAGGCTACCTTGAAGCTTTGTAGCGAGGTGAATGGCAAGTTGAGGCTTCGCCCTCGATATATGGTAGGATTTGCTAATATAGTTGGATGTAGGGCTCGAAGAAGCTGTGAACAGCTATCTAGGGAAGGGGGTTCCTAACGGTTTATCCGAATCGATAATTGATCAGGACTACACGCTGCTCGCTATTAGGAGGTTTGCCGAGGGTTCAAGAGGGTTTTGGGGGGCTGTCATAAATGGGGCTAAGAAGGTTGAGCAGACCGTTGTGGAGCCCTTATTGGGGTTCCAAAGGTCGGAGCTTAGGGTATTCAAGGTAAGGGGTCATGGGCAGACACTTCTATCTTGAATTCTTACTCACAATTGTCTTTAGGATTCACGACGTTCCCTTGAGACCACTCAAGCGAAATACGATTCCCTTCTTGCCCGCTATGCCGGATTGTCAAAATCGAAGGAGCCTTCATCACTCCGCGAGGATGCGTTCCAACTCTATGAGGCTAGAAAGTTGTACATTAGAGCTTGCTTAGATTTCTGTGTTGCCGCACCCATCTTTCGTGCCTCATTGGACCGTACCTTGACCAAAGTATTGTCGGACCAGTCTAGGAAGCAGATACGCCTCCGACGTGAAGGGACCGCAGCAGCCGAAAAACACGCGGTTGAAATGGATAGGATAAGGGCTTGGAGTGAGGGTATGGAACAGAGTGATAAAGTATTTCGCAAAGAGCTTCTTATGGCAAGAAAAGAATTGGAAGAGAAGGTAAAGAGAGAGTTGCACCCCGCCAGGGAGCTGGAGGAGTACGCAAGTAGCACAGTTCCTTATCTATCTAGCAAAGGGCCTGGCATTGCCCCAGAAGGCGAAAACATATCAAGTGAAAAACAAGGATGGTTGTTTATGAGGACATTGACGGGTAAACCAACCCGAAGCCTTTGGATTAGACGCTGGTTCTTTGTGAGGGAAGGGATATTCGGATGGCTCATGCAAGGATATAAGGGCGGTGCAATGGAAGAAAGTGAAAAGATTGGTGTCCTGCTGTGCAATATTAAGCCAGCATTCCAGGAGGAACGAAGATTTTGTTTCGAGGTCAAGACAAAAGACACCACAATATTGCTCCAGTCGGAAACCCAAGCAGAGCTTACGTCATGGCTCGCAGTCTTTGAACAGGCAAAAAGGACTGCTATCGAATCGGCATCTTCTACGACATCAACCCAAGCATTCTCTATCATTCCACCTTCGGCTCCCGTCCTCGCTTCTGAGCCGGCATACGTAGCGAAAGGTCATGATGGTAATAATGCTTCTTCAGCGCTCGCATCACAACCGACAGGCAAAGACGCCATCTCTCTAAACCCACTGAGCATGTCAAGACATCTCCTCGTTCACCGTGAGCGTGATGATGAAGCTTCCGGAATCGATCGTTCATTAACTATGCCTCTCGGTGCCCTTGGGGGCGCCTCCAGGGGAACTTCTTTCGATATCAGTAGGATTGATAATTCAACTCTGGTATCTTCGGGGGCCCGGGAAAAAATCGCACAGAAACTAGATATCCGTCGGGGGACGGGGTACGGCGAGCGAAATCAGTCTTTGGCAGTTCCACCAGCCTCGCCAGGTAATAGTAATAGCAGTAGTGGTATTGGTGCTGGTGTGTCAGCCTTGATCTCCGCGAGCCATAATGCTTTACCATTCCATCCGCCAGCATCCCCTCCAACTGATGGAAAGTTTGCAGATGGACCTACTAGCCTTGCTCCGGCCACTTTGGCCAGTACACCGACGCCAGCTACGTTATCGAAAGCGGCTATGGTAACATTGGGTCAAGAGCCAATAAACGACGATTTTGGATCTAAGGGCCATCGGAAGACTCAGAGTTTGGATGAAACTGCTGGGCCCCATTTACTTCGTAGGGATGACAATCCACCTGGCGGAAAGGACGAATACCCTTCGGGGTATCCTCCGGAGCTTAGGGCTCAAGATAATCATTTCAGAGTATTATTTCCTGGAAGAAGGCCTGGGGAAGCGGTATTACTTGGTGAGTGATGGATTTTGTTTTCCACCTTTGGACACCCTACATTTGGCAGGACTAGTAACGAACACCAACCGGACAGTTTTCCGAGCAACCTGGAGCCCGAATGATACACAGGAGCTTCCGGGTCGCTGTTATGTGACAGTTGAGAACGTGTATTTCTACTCCCATTATCTTGGCCTTGTGTTTACTAGCGTGATACCCCTCACGTCTGTTACTGAGGTGAAGGCTGCTCCTGGAAAAGATTGTGATTATCTATTCTTGCATCTTGACCCCGAAGATGGAAATGTAGGAGTTGATCAGGAAGGACACGAACCGCACATCACAGTCAAGATATTCTTGGAGCCGGTAAGGCTTTTACAAAGGCGTCTGCTCTTTTTGGTCAAAAACGCCAACGCATCGAGCGAAGACGAACCTCCGAAGCTCCCGGCCAGAAAGGTCCTAGAGAGGCTCATCGCACTGGAGCGTGAAGTAGAGGAGCGGACTGGGACTGATACTGAGAGTTGGGAAGATGTAGGCTTTGTAGATGTGCATGATGAGCTTGAGCGAAGGAAACGTACAGGCGAGCTGGTGAGAGTCCGGACTGACGGGTAGGCTTTTTGCTTTGAGACCAAATCTGAAGTTTGATACTAAAGCGATATCTAGCGATATTTTGACGCCTAATCCGACCGCCACTCAGGGAAGCATTGACGGTAGAGTCAGGGAAGTGACTCGCTTTAAATTACCTTCGGTTCCGGTCGTCTACGAACCTGGGGGGATGGATAAAAAAGCGTTCGAACGGGAGTTTGAGGTTTCGCCAAAAGCTATGTTTCACGTCATGTTTGGAGACAAATCGGCTGTCTTCCAAATGTTATACAATGAGAGAAGAGCACGGTGTATGAGTTCCCGGCAGCCTCAGAATTTTCACGACTTTGGTGGAGTAGATGCTAACAGCCTTGCTTGGTTTCACAGACATTCAGCAGGGTGCATGGACCCAGCTAGAAGGAGGAAGTATGAGGCGGGAATTTAAATACCAGATCGAATACCTCGACATTTTACGTAGGTCCCGGAATTTGGGGTCGATTGCTGGCGCAGCGCTGACGAAAGATATCTAGGGAGATTGCGGATATCAAATGTGGTTGATCATCAAACGATTGAGAAACAAGACGATCATTTGTAGGCCCCCAAATTTCCCGACGATCCTTGGATGCATGGGGTATAATAGGCTAACCTATCCTCAGATGTTATGTAATCACGGACCGAAAAACACCCTGGCATTTGCCTCACCGCGAGCATTTCATGCTTGTCAGCAAGGTGGTCATTACTCACTTAGCGAAATCAAAGTGTAAATTATCCATCTGGACTGCTGTCGAGTGGGCAAAGGAGCCGACTTTCTCAAAGGGTAAGCCATCCTTTCATATTTGAAATTACGGGGGGCGGTTTAGTTGATGTAACGTTGGTTGTCGCAGGAATTGTTCACAGACAGGCCCTCGATGACCTCGACTTAGACGCCCTCGACCTGGGAGACGTCGTCGCAGATCAGGCACGGAAATTAGGTTCTCCAAGCCGCATAGAGAATGCTGTGCACATCTTTGGAGGGATAGGCCAAGAAACCCCGGGCTCCCATCTGACAGCGGGGGGACCGGACGGTGCGCCTCTCGCCCCAGATCTTGACCCAAGAGCCCCGAGGTTACCGATCGCCCACAGATCCCTCTCCCAGATGATGTTGGAAACTGGCTTGAGCTTTCTTGAGAGCGCAGTGTCTAGCCTTATGATGTGGACATTCACGGCTCTCCAAAAAGCCTGGGGAATTGCTTCGGCGCAGCGCATTATCTTATTGTTTCTGGCTGTGTCTCTCTTGAGCAACACAATGCTTAGCTCGAGATCTACAGTTTCATACTGGAATGAAAGGCGAGCTGCGAATTTTATGAATGCCGTAGGAGTATCACCTAATGGAATTATGTCCAGAGCCGTTTACTTGAAGGATATGGATGAAATGGTTTTTAATGGTACAGATTTGGCACACGACGGCTCTAGTCAATGGTAATATTAACTAAGGCCCACCCGTCAACTTTTATCCTGCTATTCGAAACAGCATGTACTGACAGCCTTGCAGCTATGCGAAGTTTAGAGAGCTCGCCAGTTTCACTGATATGGACGCAGACGCGGCCCTCGCGAGCAAAGGATTTTTCAGTGCTTCCACTCGCGCTACTGCACGAAGGCTCCGGCTCTCTAGGCAACATCTTGGGTCGTACCGCCATGACTTGCTCGTAGCGATGAGAGTTGTCAATAGTTTGGAGAGAGAAATGGTGCATGCCGAATGGGACAATTGGCTTTACGAGGAAACATCTAGATGCAAACAGGCACTCTTTATTTTGAACAGCCGGAAGCAGCCGGCTGGAGGTACCGGTCTGAACAGTACATCTGAAGGAGGTGGTCGAGGAGAGCATGGCGAAGCCGCAAAATGGCTTTCGGAATATTGCGATAGTTGCAATAGTGAGCGAAGTGAATCTGATACCGGACGGCGTCTCGGCCTAGCGTTTCCTTGAAGGGTTTTTTTTCCTCTTTTTTCTCCGTATTTTGTCTTGTCTGGGTTAGAATTGCTTTGTTTTATTTTGCATTTTGTCTTTTTCTATAGGTTGGTCGGCGGTATAGTTGGACCGGTGCGCATTGGTCTTATTCATTCGTTATATCAGTTTCTCAATCTTGGTTCCAATCTGCTTTAATATACTCTATACCTTGCGCCCAACTTCAACATTCCTCTCCTCTCCTGCAAAAAAAAAAATCCCTTCCCTCTCTATCTCCGCCCCATCTTTCACGCGAGAAGGAAATCTGCGCCGCTGGGTGGGGGTACCTAACCTCCCTGGTATGGCAGTAACTACTGTCGTAATAATACCGGGCTACAGATGGCAGCTTGGGAGATCAATCCTTCTTTACCTTTAGTCCTTGGTAGCAGCGAATCATCCTACGATAGCATCATCTACGGTAGTATCGTAAGTTAACTTGTGGTGGTTTCTTCAAGTTGTGCCATACTCAACCAACGATGATTGCAACTGCAAACCGAACAAAAGCCATCTCAACCAAAGAAGAACACAGTCAAACTCCCGATACCGCAAGTCTTCCTCTTCTACCCCTTCCATACGCAACTACTGCACGCTACTGAACTCGAATCTACAAGCGGCGTGGGAAAACACCAAATTCGGTGTGATGCAGTATATATCCATAAATTCTTCTACAATGTCATAGTAATAATCCACCTCATCTCCATCCTCACGCTCATCCGAAAAAAAGACATGGCAAATTAGCCAGCCTCCTCCCTCCCCTTCCGCATAGCATGATGAACCGCAAACAATTCAATGCGCTTCCCTCCTCCCCCGAAAAAAAAAAAAAAAAAAAAAAATTTACAGGGGAAAATACTTTATTTAGGCGTGAAGATTTAAATCATCATCATGCTGCAGTACGGTGTCGTACTCGCACAGCTATCCTCACACCGAGCGACCGCGAACCCGACCGGCCGGCCCGGATGCGCAATTACATGCATGCATGCAAGCCTTTCCCAACAAACTCGCAAGACATATCATACTTCCGGCAAAACCTACGGCACGATAGAAACCAGAATTTATAAATAAATAAACAAATAAACCCGTCGGACGAGGGGGGCTGGCTGGCTGGCTGGGCTGGCGGTTGTGTGTGTGTGAGATTTGCTATTTTACTTTCACAGTACCATCATCATCATACTTGCTTACTTTTTTACTTTTAACTTCTCACTTTTGCTTTGCTTTGCTTTGTTACCGCGACTTGTACCACGTTGCTTATCTTAGCAATTCTGAAACACGGGGGGGGGGGTTGATTGAGCTCTCGTGCAGTAGGATACCGGTACCGGTATAATATTATTTATTTATTTCAGTTTGTTCTGGTGGTGCCGGTGGCGCATGGTGCTTACTCTACTCTACCGCGCTCAGGTACCGCACAGTTATATGTATATACAAAGTGCGGGTGCAGTTATGATATTAAAACTCCGAGTTAGAGATCCATTCGCAGATTAGACAAACCCACAGTCAGGGCACTATAGTAAGTTGTGGCAACTTCCAAAGAGCACAAAAAAAAAGTCCCAAGTTTACGGAACGATCAGTTCCACGGATCTATTCGTGGAAACAGAGCATCCCGTTATCACCGGTAATTTATATCATAACTGTATATTATCACTCCGGGGTCTGTTCTTCCGTCCGTTCTCGCTCCGCTGCTGACATGTCACGGGCGGCTACTCACTTCTTGTTACTCGGGCGCCTGCGGTGCATTCCATTTCCATCCGCAACCGTTCAAGTCAAGCCACCGGAAGCTCCACCGGACTTTCTCGACTCTACGAGTACAACGAACGGGTTTTGTGATGGCGGTTTTGTTTTTTGTAAATACGTTAGTCTATGTATGTATGTATGATAATGATAGAATCTTTGTTCGTTCGTTCGTTTCGGGATGTTTCTGTTTCTTTTCTTCTTTTTTTTTTGTTTTCTCGCCACCCCCCCCCCCACTCCCCGCTGACTGGTTAGTTTAACTACGAGTAGAGCTACCGTATTGTGGTTGAGAACTTGTGTGCCGTTGTGGTGCAGTAGATACTGTACTGTACCACCATCACGAGTTTTTTTGTTGTTGTTGTTGTTGTTGTTGTTGTTGTTGTCCAGAACCTGTTGTGGCGGAAGCGCTTCTCTCGTTATTTTTCTTTTTCTGTTCTGCTATGATACTTTATGTTGTACTAGTACTGTACAGTGCAAGTAATAGGGTCTAGACTCTCTTTTTTTCTTCTTCTTCTTCCTTTCTTTGTTTCTTTTCTTCCCTTCCCTCTCTCCCGGTATCGTGGTCCGGGAAAGGGTAAGTATGGTGTACCGTAGTATCATACTCGGGCTATGTACTGTACCTACCACGGTACGGTCCTCGAGTATATGGTACAAGTAGATGGATGGTATCGTGGAGTGATGGGCGTGAGTTTGCCGCGGTGTTTTTAATATCATATCACAGCATAGTTATGGTGCTGTGCTGTGCTGTGCTGCATGCCATAGTCGGGATCTACGCTTACCGGAACTTTTTTATACGAAGTGACGTTCTTTTTTTCTTTTTGTCATTATATTATGATTATCAGATTCTTATTACCGTCACACCGGTGTTTGTCCTTCTCCTTTTACTTGGTCTAGCGATGAACGCGGTTGTCGTGTCATTTCTTCCGATTATAACATTCATAATAAAGTTATAGTCAATAAGTCTGTACACACACCCCCCCACACACCTTCACCACATATTTCAACCGCAACGTAAATCAATCAATTATACAACCAAAACTGAACCTAAAAATACAATGAAAATACAGATAGAGAGCCATTTCCATGGTGTTTAATACTTGGTGTACCATCCCCGATTTTTTCGCACTGTGTAGTAGCGCCTGGGCATTGAATTGATCAAGTGGTCGATCAACTCTTCAGGGACTGCCCACCATGCTGCCTTCAGTGCCGTGATGAAAATCACTCTACTTGGTGCGTTATCTTTGAGGTCTTTCAAGTATCCATGATTCTTTCGAAGAATACTCTTCATGGCTTTCCAGACATGCTCAATCGGGTTTAAATCCGGACTATGTGGAGGGTGTTCGGGGACCCAGATGCCATGTGATTCAAACCACTCCTTAGTGATCTTTGCAGTGTGAATTTTCACGTTATCTTGCAAAAAGAATTTCCCAGGAGCATAATGAGGCAATAAACCATCCTCCAAGACCTGAATATAGGAGCGCGCGCTATATCCATTCTTCGCAGAGTCCTCATCACGTTGCATGACCTGCAATTCTGACCGCCCCCCCTTCCAGATAGCCCTCCAAACCATAAACGAGAGTGAAGACTTAACATGTTCACTCTCGTTGACAGCCCATTGCTTCCATTTATCCCTTGGAAGTCGAAAAACCCATCTATGGGGAGAATTGGGGGAGTTTTGCACGGAAGATTCGTCACTGTAGATGCCCTAGAAAAAACCTTAGCGAGGATCATCTAAGAAGGAACTGACACTTGTCCGCACCTTCAACAATTCTTGGTCTTTTTCATGATAGTTACATGCAATACGTAGCCTTTCCTTCACATCTTTCGCCTGCAGTCGAATTCTTTTACACCGTCTCCATTTGCAGCGTAAATTGGGCCCAAGAGCACGACAGATGGTGTTGATGCATACATTAGCACCACTCTCGTCAATGAGGTTGCGAAAGTATATATTCGGGAAACTTCTGACAAGATGAAGTAAAGAGTGAATAATTTGACGATTCAGCTTCTTGGGACGACCCTTCCAAGGCCTAGAACCAAAGTGGTTGAGTTCCTGCGCCCGTTTCACAGTCCGGTAGATTGTCTGCCGAGTACACCGAAATTCCAACGCGACAGCGGATGGACTCGAACCCAAACTTATTGCCTCGAAAATACAAGCCCTGTCGTGAGAATTCAATTCTTTCCACTGTTGCTGGGGAGTTTGCCGATCTCTGCTTATAACTGTACCAAAAACTCGTGAAGAAGGCATTTTTTGATGGTGTTGTGAAGAAAAAAAAAAAGTATGGGGGTCAGGAGGGAGTGGTGTAAAAATGCGTTGCATGTTAAATTGAGTGGGCTGGAGTGGGGTTGGTGTACAGACTTATTGATCATGACTGTATTATTATTACATGCTATTGATGATGATCTATAAATCTGCATATACATAAACCGCCGTGTCGACTATAAATTTATTATTTTCTTTCTTCCCTCTGATCTGATAGTGGAGTGAAAGTCATTCACTTTTTTTTTTTTTTTTTTTTTTTTTTACCGCCGGACTGACCGCCCGCTTGTCAAATAAACTTCCGAGCTTTTTTTCTGACTGTAGCGTACTGTACTGTACTGTACTCGAGTATCATATGGTACAAGTAGTTCACCCAGCCATCGCCTAGGCCGAAAGGGTGCAAAAATTGGTTTTGGTTGTTGGGGGTAAGGGTACCCGAGTGGAGAGGGAGAGAAGAAAGTGGCAGGCGTTAGTCTAGTTGGCAGGGGGTTTTGTTGGTCTTGGATAGTATTTTTAGAAAGGGAAAGGAACACTTGGACCTTACATGTCATAACTCTACTCGAGCACCGCACCCGCAACTATCAACTCAAACTTGGCTTAGACTACCAGTACAGATGTGGCTGTATGGAGTGCGGTAGGAACCTCGATTGCGGTACCGGTATTTGTGAGAGGAGAGGAAATACCCCTGGTCAGACCAGATCAGGTATGATACCTATCACAGCTCGCCGCTACGATTGATCACGATGATGGCTATGATACGAGGAAGCACTCCCTTCCATTTCCTTCCCTTCCCTTCCCTTCCCGTGCGAAGGACGGCGAAGGGGAATGAATATATTGGAGAATCGGAGGCGATGAGTTGGGGTGGTTCAACGAATGAGGATTGTAGTCAAGTGAAGTACGAGTAACGTGCACGTATCATATAATTGCTGAGACTGGGAAAAAGCGGGGGTGAGGGGGGGGGGTGGAGATGGGGCTCAGACTGACTTAACTCTTTACCACCTTAGACTAACTTAGAACCCAAACACCCGCTGGCAAACTCGTTACCGTACCGCATGTTCGTTATGAGCGCTCGTTCGTCCGTTAAACCTACCGCTCCTGTTTCCTGTTTCCTGTACAGTACTATACCCGCACCCGTACAACATTCTAACCCCTCCTTGACCCCGAAAAAACAAAAACAAAGACAAGGGAAAAGTGGAAGGAAGGAGAGGGAAAGAAGAAAAAAAAAAAGAAAAAAAAAAAAAAAAAAAGTCCGGACTGGGCAAATAAGTACGCTACAAGTACGATACTTGTACTGTCCTTCATATTCCCGCCCTAATCGTACAAGTACCCACAGTAACAACCCCTGTCTATTTTTTTACTCCAGATTTGGGACTACCGTGCTGTGCTCACAGACGTTGTGTTGCATTTCCAATTTTGGAGTAAGCTTGCTTGCTTGCCTTGATGGATGGGTGCACCAAAACACCGAAAGGGGTAATATGTCCCCATTGCAAAAGCAAATGTCCAAGACAAGACAAAACACAAAAGAAAACCCCCGAGAGAGAAAAAGAAACGAAAAGTGGAAAAGCAAGTGACAGGTTGTGGTATGGGTAGGTAATTGACTATATGATACGGTAGTCTAACTGTAGCTTGAGGTACGGTACCCGGTGCATTCTGTTGAGGTTGAGAAAAGGGTAAAGAGGAGGAACAAGCACCAAAGCGCCGGATGCAGTACTCGTAGTCAGTCGACCCAGATCCACGGGAGCATGCACAATTTCGTGAGATGGGTAGATGTGATGTGGTGTGATGTGATGGCCGACTATACTTAACTTACCTTTGCTATCTTAAATAACTAACTAACTCGACTATTTTGACAAACATAAACAGAAAGTTTGTCGCTGGGCAGGAGGGAAGGAGGAGGCAAAGGTGAGGCAAGAGGCAAGAGGCAAGAGATTGATGTATGCAAGGCAAGGTGAGAAGGGCAAAAGATATATTGAGCGGATATGATACTTACCAGCACTGGAGCGGGAACTGTACCGGTATGTATGCAAATTGGTAAAAATAATACCGTTGTCAGCACCGGTTCGTTAGTTACCGGGTTTTTTTTTTTCCTTTTCCTTTCTTTTTCACCATCTTCATCATATGAGTAGTGGTGAGTGAGTGAGTAGGAGGAGAGGGCACTGCCTGGTTGTCGTTTTACCGGTACCATACCGTATAGAATGTCATTTCCATCCCCCAGTCTCAATCCGTAGACTGCGCTTAATGCAAGCAACCCCGGAGGAAGGGAACTTTTACGTCAAATGGAATTGTTTGATCGGATTTTGTGCGGCCTGGGTTTATCTCTCTCTCTCTCTTCAAATCGCAGTGGGTAGGTAGGTACCGGTAGCCAGAGACAGAGCGAGGAGGCAAGAGAGACATACACATGGTCAATGTTGCGGTCTTAGACAGCGAACCACATCGACCTCCTCCTGCTGGGATTTTCCCGCTTTGGGAGTCTTGATAATAGAATCAATCGGTTTGATGACCGGGGGACCTCTCTCTCTCTCTCTCTCTCTCTCTCTCTCTCTCTTTCTTTTTCGGTGACATCTTTGTTTCCTTCATCCTCCGCTCCCGCATGTTCCTGGTTTGGGGTTTTCTGGACCTTGCACCACCATCTCATTACACCCGTTGGCCCTGCCAAGCTTACTCCACGCCGCATCGAAATGCACCTGTGTTTTCGCGATTGTTTCGGGTTGGTCTCAAGCTAACCTTCTACTCGCCATCTATTGTGTTTTGGGTTGCGAAGCGGGCTGTGGGGTGAGTGAGAAGGGGGGAGGGGGGTGCGAGGGGAATCTCCGTCCTCGTTTCATGTGGGTATCAGTCGATGCAACCCGAGATGTTGATACTCGAGTACTACCATAGACGATCCCGTGAGACTGTGCTGCTTTCGGAATCTCAAAATATTTTTTCCTTTTTTTCACCTCTTTTCTTTTCTTGTCTGGTTCTCTTCCTTTTTTTTCTTCTTGTCATTGCCACGGCGCAAAGTTAGCTCTTTTGGATGGGGGACTAAGGCGAGTTGAGTGAAGCGTCTGAATGGTTCGGGGCCGTGTTTCGTGGAGGATGATGTCGCGGGCTTCCTCTTCCTTCCTTTGATACCGGACTCTTGATTCACCTTTTTCATTTCGTTCTTCCAAATAATTTGTTGTTGGAGTAAGTTGGCCTTGCTAGACTGGGGCGTGTAAGATTGGCTCGATCCGGGCTATTTCCCCGTAAACATTCTTCGCTGTCATCCCGATACCTCAATTGAGGGAGATGGATTGGTAGGAGGGGCATCAGCATCAGCATCAGCAGAGAAGAGATTGAGATGTGTGTGCTGCTACTGCTGCTGCTCCACCACTGGTTGTACAAGTATTAACGTTGCGAATCAGCCGCTGTGCTCTAGTGCGATGAGGCGGGGCCTGCGACGCTACTGTGTGTGTGGCTACTTTTGTCAAAAGCTGCTAATTCTGCTATCATAATTACTATGATACTTGTGCAGCATCGCTCTGCTTCTGTCTACCCCAGAGTACTCGAGTACATGTACAGTAATGTTCAACCCCCCCTCCCCCCCCCCGGAGCGAAAAATGAAATAATGAAATAAAAAAATATAATCATCCCTGGTCATCGAGGAGGCTCCTGCAGATCAGGCTGGGCACCAGAGCCTCGATTGGAGTTTCCAGCGGTTCCAAGAAATTCGACTGCCGACAAGGAAGATACAGTATTGTAAACGCTGAGCCGATTTAACTCTTTTCCGGAGCAGTGAGGGGGGAGGGAGGGAGGAGTAACATGGAACGCCATAACATATAGCAGCGGCCTACAGTATTGGAGTACAGCGCTTCCGCCAGGTATCAAAAGAACCCTAGCAAGCCTAGTCTAGAGGGAGGGCCTGTCGCTCGTGCTTACAATATAATTTTGGGGGTTGAACGTCCGAACTACTTCTATTCTCCCCTTCTCCCCGCCTCTTCTCTCCCATCGCCAACTCTGTCATTCTTTTCGCGAACCAGCTCACGGGTTGGATTTTGTTTGGTTTTTTCTTATTTGTTTTTTCTTTCACTCTTTATTTTTTTTTTTTCCCGACCACTACTAGTATATCTTTTTAATTGTCCTCCGAGAGCTGGTCCTCTTTCCCGCATCCGTGCTTCCATTCTTGTTTCCCTTCACCCCGGTCAACAGGTTGACGACGTTCTTTAAACTCTTTAATACCTTGCCTTCCTCCCATTAGAGGTCGCACATTTACATTCTCTCCGGCCGGTCCGATCATTTGGCTTTGGGTTTTCTTTAGTACGCACATCCGCTACTACTCGTACTATCATACCACTTGCTGCGACAACAACGAGGGTCACCACTACTACTATTACTACTATTTACTAAATCAACTGCTGTTGCTACTACTGCAGGTACTACTACTGCAACTGCTACATACCCACGCACCCCACACGTACAGTACATACATACACATACATACATTTACGATATCTTTTTTCTTTTCTTTTCCTTCATTCCTTCTTTTCACTGTACGAGTAAGTAGTCTGATCATTCCCCCATAAGCCCTCCTTGCTTCCTCGGTCTGTGGTTCTGCTTTAGGGTGCTGTAACCCGGCGGGATGGGCAGATGGAGACTTGGGGTACAGATTGAGATTGAAATTACGATCGTGCTAACGGATGTCTGCATTTTCAGTTATTGTCTTTGTACTACTTCTAAAGGTTGAACATAGATGCACGCGTTAGCCATGGACTCAATTCTTGCACAGTGAGTTGGAACTGAGAAAGATGCCCCAGGAGAGATAGAGAAAGGATTTCTTGCGCTTGTTTTTATTTCACTTTGCTGCTGCCCGGATGACTGACGATAAACTTTTTTCTTTCCACGAATAGCCAGCGGAGTGCTCCCAAAAACCCTTTTACTATCCCTCAGACCCAATTCAGGCTCTCAAACCTGCCAGATACTTTGCCTCGAACATTCCAATCAACCATGGGCTCCCCTCTTCCAGAATCCTTTGCCCTGTGGCCGCCAACCCCGCGCACCAATAGAGACAGACCTACGACGGTCCATGAAACTAGCTTTTCATATTCTCTTCCTGAAGACTGCTCAGCTGCTACTACCTCTTGGGATCCAAATTGCCTGCCTATGGCATTGACCTCCGAGAACCATAATATGGAAACCAATGGGGTGGACATGTCCCAACAATACGAGGATAACTCATTAGATCGTAGGTTGCGCCCAGGGAGCGAAGGAAGGGAAAAAAAGATAGATTAATATGACCGCCAGAGAGAATGGTTACTGATATAAAGTCTTATAGATAATGATTGGAACCGTCCTCGTGGTGGTGACTACAGTTCGGTGTTCCGTAACCTGGACAATGATGTGGAACCTCTGGGGTCCAGCTATGGGAGCAGCAGTAATGGTACAAGTCTACTCGATCCCCACTATCCATACTCCACACAGCCTAGAGACGGCGATAGCTTGAGTTTGAATACCAACTTTCCTCGCCGCTTATCAGATGCCGCCTCACTGTCGAGTGCAGATGCGCTGGTATCAGCATCGGACATGCCCTACGACGATTACCCTTCTTATGAGGGATCAGCCATGACCGACTACACTCACAGAACGCCATTGACAATGTCCACCACCACCACACCGCTTTCACCTGTAATGTCGCCACGCCAGACTAGCCGGATGTCGGTTCGTAGTGCTAGTAGGGGTCGGGCTTCACCTTCCCCATCACGCGCCCTAAATGTTCGATCTGCGCCGTACCATACTGGAAGTAGGGATGCAGCGAACAAGAGGTGGTCCACCGGATCCTTCATACCAGGGTCGCAGGCTTCATCTCCGTATATCAGCCACGTTGATCCGCACTTGCAATCACAATTCCACTCCCACCATTCCTCACCAACATGTTCCTCCGCACACCCCGCCCCGCAGCAACTCCTCCTCTCGCACAACCATGGTTTCCCCCGAGCAAGTGGCCTGCTGCCCAGCTCATACATGGATACTTCGTCATCACCGCACGACTGCCACCCGCAGATGCCGAACCACATCCTTGTCAAGATGCTCCACTCCAGCGCAACGGAGCACTACCGCAGCCACTACACTGACCTCACCGAACCTCCGGATCTCTATGCTTCCCTGAACGAGGAGCAGATCCCGCCTCCCCCAGAGGACATGGACCCCGAAGACCCGGACCTCAAGCCCCACGAGCAGGAGCTCAGGTTCGAGGGGGACCTGTACACACCCAGATGGGTCCGCGGTCACGGGAATAAGCGCGAGGGATGGTGCGGGATCTGCAAGCCTGGGCGCTGGTTGGTGCTCAAAAACTCTGCGTTCTGGTACGACAAGTCCTTCACCCACGGCATCAGTGCGGCTACCGGGCAGAGGTTCTTGGAGCCCGAAACAGTGAGGAGGATGGAGGGGAATCCGGACGTTTGGGAAGGTCTATGCCATTCATGCAAAGATTGGGTTGCCTTGGTTAGCAATAAGAAGAAGGGGACTACTTGGTTCAGACATGCCTACAAGGTTTGTTTTGCCCAAAATATTTCTCTTTTTAAAAAAATAATTTTTGAGAAAAGGCAAGATGCTAACTGTTCGGCCGATCAATTTAGTGCCACACACATCCCAAGATCAAAGATGCACCAAAGCGGAGGAGGGAGAGTAGTCAAGGCAAAGCCGCTGCAGCAGCTGCAGCCGCAAAAGCAAAAGTGGATGCTATAAAGATGAATGGGATGCACCATGAGTCGATGGGATGAAATGTCCTTCCCTTCCCTACCTTCTTCACCATCTCCCGGTTCAATGATCTCTTCCGCCCTTTTTTCCTTTTGCACCTCCCCCCCGCCAATGTTATTCCTTACGGGTTTTCTTGCTTTTATAACGACCTCCCTTCTACTCCCTTCACCTCTAATGAGATGGATACGTGGCCCAGAATTTTTTCTTACCTTTTTCTTCTTCTTTCCTTCTTTCTTTATAGCTGGTTTGGTGTATTTGTTTTTGGAGACTTTTTTTCTTGAATTTGTGTACGGCGGGGAGGGGGGGGAGCACTTTATGGTCTGGAAAGGAAGTCATGTTTGGTCATCACTATCTCGAGTATTTCTCTTGTCTCCCGATTTGCATATGGTTTTACGTCCTAGTGTCCATTTCTTCACGGAATGGTTCTCATCCTCATACCCAAAACCCCTCTTCTGGGGGTGACTTTTTTCTCTTCCAGATAAAAAAAAATATTTCTCAAGGATTTGTATTGTCCCTCTGTGTGGATGCATGTTTCGCTCGGTCGTTCGTGTTTCGTTTCACTTCTGTTTCCGAGTAACTCGCACTCGGAACCATTCATTTCAAGGCTTTTGGAGACATTGGTTTGGGGTCAAACTGGGAACGCATGGTATCATGGTATTTTTCCGTATTGGCGGGGTTTCGGGGTTTATTGATTTTTGTGTTTTTTTTACGTACTCTCTGGTCTTCCTATTTGTTCTGTAGAGCGGGTTTTCATGATGGACCATTTTTGTATTCCCCTATCGCTTTTTATTTTTCCTGAAGTCAATTGTCCTTTTTCTTATATTGCTTCCCCCCGTTCTTTGATCTTTTTTATCTATGTAGACAAACCCTAACAAAATAAAAATAAAATAAAAAAAGGATCGCCTTGGGTTCCCGTTGTGTTTTTAAAGATTTTTATGAATTCCCGTTTGGTTCGAGTGAGTTGTCTGTATTTCGTTGTCGGGTTATGATGTGAGGACTAGGCAGTGTCAGCTTGGAAGAAATTGTTGCTAGAACGTTCTATCAAGTGGTTGGTATTTTTTTTCTTCCCCACGGGCGAAGCCTCAAGTCAAAAGTCAAGGTTCAAAGCGGTCGCTGAACTTCCTTCCCACCCAAACCCCCCTCCTCCACTCGTTCTCTTGTCCTCTCGTCACCACCTCTACCCCTTCTCCTTTCCCGCCTCGCGAAACCTGTATCCCACGTTTTTCCAGGTTTATCTACCAGCCGAACCCTTTATACTCTCACCATTGTACTTGGTTTCCTCAACCTTTCAGTTTGGGCGGTGTTTATTTCATTTCACTGCCCTCGCCTCGTACCCGGGACAACTCGAGACTTTTCTCAACGTTTTTTCTTCTTCCGTTTTCCTTTTCCCTCCCCCCTCTTTCCTTTTTCCCTTACACATCTTGGTCGGTAGAACCGCACACACTGAAACAGTATCCATGTCTTCTATGGACATCGATTCCGGACCTCCAGTAACCCCTGGAGGACTAGGAACGCCAACATCTCCAGCTCCAGAGACCCCGGCCAAGACAAACGGTGTAAATGGTACACATTTGCTTCCCCCGGATCCGCCGAGGGAAGAGCTCGACGGGGAGGCATACAAGCAGGCCGGCAACAAATTCTTCAAACAAAAAGAGTACGGAAGAGCTGTCGAGCAGTATTCCAAAGCCATAAAAAAGGAGCCTGAGAATGCTACATTCTTATCTAATCGTGCGGCTGCCTACATGTCGGCGGGAAATTTTAACCTCGCTCTGGATGATTGCGTACTGGCTGATCGCTACGCCCCGTGCAATGCGAAGACATTGCTGAGAATGGCGAGGATCCAGGTGGCTTTGGGGAGGCCGGAGGACGCTCTGGAGACTTATGGAAGGATGAACCCCCCGGCTAGCAGCAAGGACAAGGTTCCCGCGATTCAGATGAAGCAGCATATCAAGACTGCCGAGGCTTCGGTAGCCGATGGGACTGCGAGCTCTATGACGCTGTTCGCTATTAATCAGGCGGAAGACTTGCTGGGTACTGGTGTCGAACCCCCAAAGAAGTGGAAACTCCTTCGGGGGGAGGCAAATCTCAAGATGAACACTGCGAATTCGTTGGGGGAAGCCCAGAATGTCGCAATGTCTCTTCTTAGGCAGAATGCACAGGATCCCGATGCCTTGGTTCTTAGGGGCCGAATTTTGTATGCTCAAGGCGAAAATCAGAAGGCCTCTCTTCATTTTCAGGAAGCTCTTAGATGCGATCCCGATATGAAGCAAGCCAGGATATTCTTGAGACGGTCACGGGAGCTTGAGAAAAAAAAGGAGGCTGGAAACGAGGCATTCAAAAAGGGTGATTACAAGATCGCCCGGGAGCTCTACTCTGAAGCCTTGGCTGTTGATCCTTCGAATAAAGGGACTAATGCCAAGTTGTACCAGAATCGTGCCGTTGCTAACACCAAGGTTTGTTTTTCTATTGCCCTAATCATTAGGTATTAAACTAAAAATATCTTTCCAGCTTCAAAATTGGGAAGAAGCTCTCGCGGACTCTGATGAGGCTATTAAGCTTGATTCGACTTACACCAAGGCCCGCAAGACCCGGGCGAAGGCTCTAGGACAGATGGGCAATTGGGAAGAGGCAGTTCGCGAGCTCAAGGCGGTATCTGATGCCAACCCAGGAGATAGCAACATCCGAAAAGAGATCAAGGAAGCCGAGCTGGAGTTGAAGAAGAGCAAGAGGAAGGATTATTACAAGATTCTTGGTGTGGACAAGACAGCTACCGACGCAGAGATCAAGAAGGCATACAGGAAGATGGCCATGTTACACCATCCTGATAAGAATCCTGATAACGCATCCGCGGCCGAAAAGTTCAAAGGTATGCTTCTGTAGTCATGTGATCGGTGCAACCGCCACTCATGAGACCTAGTACAAAGCTCTCGCTAACCTGAATGATTGTCTTTCAGATGTCGGTGAAGCCTATGAGACTTTGTCCGATGCACAGAAACGTGAGATGTATGATTCTGGTGTTGACCTACAAGATGATGATATTTTCAGCGGTGGTGGAATGAACCCGGGGATGGGTGGTGGTGCAATGAATATTGATCCTAGTAAGCTATCAAACACCTTATTGATTGCTTGTTTCGTCCGTTTCAGCTAATGCTTTTCGCTTATAGATGTATTTTTCAATATGATGGATAATATGGGAGGCCGTGGCGGCAGCGGAAATTTTTTCCCCGGCGGCGGCTTCCCAGGCGGCTTCCCAAGTGGTGCAGGAGGAGGGGGGGGGAGAAGAGGGCCACGAGGGTCCCAAGGTTTCCCGAATTCATTCTCATTTTAGAAGCAAAAGGGCGGGGTCTAGATTATTGCGATGTAGGGCAATTTGCATGGAACAAATGGTGTTGTCGTGGGAGTCCGAAAAGCGTTCTGCGAGTGCTGAACGGGATTTGTTTTTTTATCATTCATCTCTCTCTCCCTCTCTCCCTTTGTGGTTTCTTAATATCTCGAATATGATTCTTACTATTGAGTCTTAGGCGGTACTAGTTTCTTGCCCTATATTACTTTTTTTGTGGTTGTCTGCTCATCATCCTCATCATCCTCATCCCTCTCTTTCTTTCCTTCCTACTCTACCCTGTGACTTCTTTCTTAGGTCGTTTATGTTTATCTACTCTTCTCCCCAACCGTGGCGCGCTCAGCATTTTTTCCCCTTCTCTTTTCTTCACGTGTCTTCATAGGGTGTTCATTTTGATATAAACATTGGCGGGTTTTGCGAAGATTGGTTGGTCGGTGCGGTACCGGTATGGCAACTATGTTAGAGGGTTTCAAACGCAAAAAGAGGAGACAGTACTGTATTGTGAGGCTATGGTACCCGAAGGGCGAGCCTTACCCTTCATATCATATACAAAATTTAATGGTGATAAGTAAATAATATTATTATAAGTTAAGCGTCTAACCGACCGACCGCAGAGTAACCTAATTTCTCACGTAACCCGCGCCCCCGCCAATTCAAACTCCCTCCCTCCTTGTTTTTAAGCCTATTACCTTGTTTCTCCCTCTCCTTCCCCCTCTCGGCCACATCTTTTCTATGTTCCACATCTAAGGGGTTAGGGCTCATCATAACATAATTCTGAGGGCCAATCCAACCCAATCTTTGTCAGGCGTCATCCAGACGGCATCCCCAGGCGCGGTAGCGGCAGACTAGGCGAGGGTCAAGAACGAGAATAACAGAAAAGCGCGGTTAGCGGCTCCGGCTCGGGCTCCTTTTGCACCCAACCGCTTTCCTTCCTACCATCCCTTCCTTCCTTTCCTGCTTTTCCTCCCTCCTGACATCCTGACACACTGTTTTCTTACGAGTAGATTCTTGGGGGCTGTGTGGAAGCCGAGCTGCTTCACAATTAACACGTAACCTACTCGAGTAACCCTTTTTCCTTCTTTCTTACACCTTCCTTACCTTACGGTCGCAGTCTTCCGCGCACTTTCTCTATTTTTTTATCTTTATTTATTTCGTTTTTCGACCACTCACGCCACACTATAATCAATAATGTCGATTCAAGATCGCACGGGCGAGTTCCACGCCCTCACAACGTCGGCTTCTAAACGGCTCAGCAGGAATAATCCGAGTGGAGCGCATCAGCGATTGCTCGGGCAGAAGAACAGGAAGGGGGGGGGGGATGAGCAGACGGGGAATGGTGGGGGTGGTGGGAGGGGTGAGTTTGCTAGGAAGGCGAGAGATATTGGAAGGGCTATTACGGATACGATGGGGAAGTTGGAGAAGCTTGCGATGCGTGAGTCTATCATCGCCATCACCATCATATCCACCGGGAGTGGGGGAAAGGGGGAAAGGGGGATGCGGCGTGATGCTGACGTGAGCTGGGTTAACAGTGGCCAAACGCAAAGCCCTCTTCGACGACAAACCGATCGAGATCGCGGAACTCACATACGTAATCAAGCAGGACCTCTCAGCGATAAACCAGAATATAGGAGCCCTGCAGGCCCTCTCGCGCCAAAAGAACAACGGTCGCAATGAGGAGGGCGAGCACAGCAAGAACGTTGTCGTCATGCTCCAGGGCAAGCTGGCCGACGTGTCGGTTGGGTTTAAGGAGGTTCTCGAGGTGCGGACGAAGAATATTCAGGCTTCTAGGCATCGGACCGATCAGTTTGTGTCGAATGTCAGGCCGAGTTCTGCTGATCGTTTGTGCCCCCGGCCTCCCACTTTTGAGCGCCTTATCGGTGGTGTGAATGTAACGTTAACATAAGCGGCGATGACAGCAACAGTCTTGCAGACCTCGCACTCGCCATTGTACTCTACACCATCTACTACCCCCCGGCCAAATCACCAGCCTGATTTATTGTCCCTAGATCCAAACCCCTCCTCATCGGCGCTATCGGGTCCCGCATCGGCGCAGCAGCTAGCACTGATGGAGGAAGGATCCTCGGCAAACTCTTACATTTCTGCCCGGTCAGAGGCTATAGAAGCTATCGAGAAGACTATAACAGAGCTAGGCGGGATATTCAGTCAGTTGGCACAGATGGTGGGCGAGCAGAGTGAGATGATTCAGCGTATCGACCATGAAACGGAGGACGTCGTAGCGAATGTAGAAGGCGGGCAGAGAGAATTACTCAAGTACTGGTCTCGAGTGAGCAGTAATCGGTGGTTGGTGGTGAAGATGTTTGGAGGTACGTCCACTTACCCCATTGTTATCTATATCTCAAATTTCCGAAACTAACTGGCGATGTCCCATATAGTTCTCATGATATTCTTCCTTCTCTGGGTATTGATTAGCTAAATATTTTTTATTTTTTTTCTCCCTTTTCCGTTTCCTTCTTTCATTCACTCCTAACCCTTAACCTTACTTGACTTTATTACTCTGTGGATGCTATTCTTTTTGTCTAGAGAAGAGAAGGGAAAAAAATAAAAGGGCGGGCGAAACTACTTATCTACCTGCTAGGTTGCATTACTCAATATTGATAATACCTGGGGCATATTCTGTGATTGCCGTTTTTTTCCCTTTTTTTCCTTCCTTTTTACTTTTCTCCTTCTCTTCGTCTCTCCCCTACACTTGAGGTTCCTTATGGTTCGTGGCTTTGGCTAGACGATGTAGCACTTTCCTCTTTTCTTCTCACTGAATTAGTAGGGATCGGCGTGGGTATCATAGATAGGCGCGGTGTTAAACGGGTTTGCGTACGTACGCATTTCCCTATGATAGCTACAGTAGGTCTTTACACTTATAAAGTCTGGCATGGATCGTGATTAACCCGTGCTATTGCTACCGAAGACTTGTTCGCGTAGCTCATGATGTCCCTCGCTCACTTGGGATCACACTACCGTCAGCTGCCGCACTGTGACTCCCTAGGACGGGAAAGGTAGGGCGGGGGAATGAGCGGTACTGTACTGTGCTCGTAAGTCGACATCACAGATAGCACAATAACGACATCCGCCAACCCTACCTATATCACCAAAACTGAAAATTGATGAGATATATGTCCGTTCAAGGCGCAGGAGAGCGAACCACTCCACCCACAGGATGCCCAGCACGTCGGGTAGACTACGTACGTACGTATCATACCAGAGGATGCGGTCCCAACCACAAAGGGTAAGTTGCACATATAAATCAGATTATTAAATATCGAGTGACGGTTTGTGATTGTAATACCCGGTAAGAACTCGGAGAAACAGGCGGCCCTTGTTCTGGGACATTGAACTCGTCTCTTCCCTAGTAAGGTCTAATGCTTTTCTTTTTTATATTTGTGTCGGAGAAGCGGACGTTTTTGGTATGCTCTTTGCCCCCCCCCTTTTCTTGAGGAAATTTTGGACCATTTATTCGAGTTCTTATGGCATTATAATATATCATTATATGAGGCTGCACCGAGGAAAAGCGTGAAAAACGCATTGCGACCAAGGCTACCCAGCAAAAAAGTTTTGAGATATGATAATATTATGTATGATATGATACAACCGCTTTTATGTTAACACCACTTATGATACCATCTGCAAAAAAGAAAAATCAATAAATCAAGCAAGTTTAAAGTTGAATAGCTTGACAAAAAAATTTTCTCAACTACTGTATATATACTTAGCCTCTCTAGCTATGATAGCTAGATGGCAAAAAGCAAAATAATAGTAATAATTGTGATTGAGGTCCGAAAGTCAGTCTCGTTTTAACTGGTACTGTACTGTACGGTACAATCTCATAATATTATTATATAATAATATTATATATATAAAGCTGGTTACGGTGGCTGACGGAAACCCCTCTGCGGATATCAA